TCAGGGAACAGGATGTAGTGTATGTGTGTGGTAAGATGGGTTGTATATCAGGACTCATGGGCAAATTGTAGGGCACGCAGACACCCAGGCTCCTCCTCGTGCCTGTATGGGCTTGAGTACTTCCCCTTGACTAATTAGCCACAACCCACTGTGAGCAGTCATTAAGTGAGCCCCTGTGCTTGATAAATCAGGATGGAGGCCAGCTGGAGAGGAGAGCAGAGGCCAGAGCAACAGCCAGGCTTCCCTCCAGGACTGGAGTTCATCTGACCACCTCTAGGTACTTGGAGGCTGCTGCTATTTGCATCCCAACATGCAAGTGTCCACTTGGTCAGGCAAAGGTTTGTGTAACCCCAGAGTGTCTCAGGAGCTCTTCATGTGCCTGCATCATATGGAGACATCTGAACCGCAGGCATGTGGTTGGGTGAGATGAAATACATTCACATTGGTGAAATGTTCACTGGCTCTGTTTTGGGGGAACTCTTCCACACCTTTCTGACTCGAGAACATTAACTGCTAATGGCTCCATTTCTTTCCCAACATTTTGTTTGTGTCCTGGCACAAACTAGTCCCATAAGCAATACGTACCATTGTCAGCCCTTGTCCCCTCACTCCATAAGCTGGGCAGTGGGATGGAGGACAGCCTCATCCCACCACAGGCCAAGCTGCAAGAGCCCTATGTGCCTTCTGAGAGCATGAGCAGAGGTCCACGTGCCTGGAGAGAGGCAACAGCACTTCACCACAGATATTTGAGGCAAGACACTGGGAGGCGAGTGGCGCAGCCAGCAGCTTTATCCTGCAATAAGGGAAGACCCCAACAGCAAAGACCAGCTCGTCTCATCTGTAAGCTCAGCTCCTCAGGTGATCATGGGCAAGCAAAGCTAAGGCACTGATAGGTGTCATGCCATCAAGGAAACTGTTGCCTCGTCCTTGGAGAAGCAATACAGAGCCTTTACTCGCTTTGGGACCTTTGTAATAAGATGACAAGTGCTGAGGGCTGCCTTCTGCTAAATTTCAGTATTAGGAAAGCTTTATCAAGCGGCAGCGCTCTGTACAAGCTGCCGCTTTGGGCAATCTTATCAAGGCTCTGATAATGGCATATCTAATCTAAACCAACATGCACTGGCGCTTGTATGTCTATGGCTTGGAAGTTACAGCTTGGAGGCAGCCAGCCTCCAGGAGACTGCAACAGCCATTTTAAAAAGAGAAAAAGCTGAGAAAGGTGCCGTATTTCATCTCAGTGCTGTCTTGGCAATGCAGCACAATGAAACCTTGGTGGAAACCAAGAGGGACAGAGAGTTCACAGGAGCATCAGCATCTTTTCCCAGCCCATCCAACCTTTCAAAGCAATGCAGCCATGTGGCCTGATGAAGAAACCTTTGTTCCTCAAGATTAAAAATAATCAGACCAAAGATGTGAAAGCTGGGCAGCAGACCAAGTTCCCAGGTACAGGCACAGCGGAACTAGGGATGACCTGAGCAATAATACAGGTTGAGACAGAGGGAAGGCCACCTGGGGACCTGTAATTGGCAAGCTTGGGACCAAGCTGTTCAAAAAAATGACTAGGGTTTTGGGGTGTCCGACTGGACCTGCATTGGTGAAATCCATGACTGAATCAGCAGAAGCCCTGGCTTGTAGCCTTTCACATTTTGGGCTAAGAAAATCCTAGAGTAGAGCCCAGTCCCAGCTTCCAAGAGCACTGAGGTGAAACCAAAGGCTTCACAAAGTCTGGGGAGTCACTGGTGGGATAGCTAAGAAGAGCAAGAGAGGAGATAGAGGGCAGGTGCATGAAGACACTCCCAGAGCTCCAGAAGGCTGCCAGGTACCCCCTCCTGGGCACAGCAAAGAGTCTCTCCCCACACAGTGTTCTGGCTGTAAAGTCCTTTTCAGAGTTCGGAGCTTAAAGCAAACTTTTAGTTCAGACTGGAGAAGGCAGAGAAGGATTTTTTGCTGCAGGAACCCTGAGACACAAAATCCCCCACCACAGCATCCAAACCATCCAAACCGCAGAGCACACAGGAGGGTGGTTTCCCAGTGCCCTGGCAGACACGGAGTGAAAGTGGGAGGCAGGACTGGGAATCTCAGGGAAGGGTTGAGGGAAGGTGATAACAGCCTGTAAGGACTCCATGGGCTGCTACAGAGATGATGTGGACAAACTCTTCTTGATTATGGCAGATGCTATAACATGAGGCAGTGGCCACAAATTGCACTTTGGGAGGTTTGGGTTGAGCATCTCTTCTTCAAGAGGTGGGTGGTGCAGCCCCAGGAAGGGTACCCAGAGCGGCAGAGGAGGTGGTTTTCGAGATTTGGCCAAAGTATGGCTGAGTTGATCTGTTGTAGGTGATGTTCTTGCTTTGAGCAGGCGGTTGAACCAGAAACCTCCAGAGGTCCCTCCCAACCAGCATTTCTTTGGTTCATCACCTTGGGACACAGAGCTTTCAGATACATCCATGGCTAGGAGGGAGGTGAGAAGTTTTGCAGGTCCATATCTTTGATTCAGGTGCAAAAAGCAGAAATGAGACACGTGTCCTTTTTTCTGGCAAGCTTCTAAGATCCTACACTTTATTTTCCAAGCAACTTAAACACAAAAGTACCTGCTGGCTTCCCACAAAACATAGCTTCCTCAATAATTTTTGAAAATGATCCATGCCTTCTTTCTTTCTACAAACCAGGTCCAGGTTTTAGGGTATGGCTTTAGTTTTAATCAAATGGTCAATTGACTTGGCCTTGTGTTAATGCAAATCAGGTGCATTTTCTTGGCCCTGGAAGTGGTATCATGTTTTAAAAGATCCTGTATTCTGGTGGGGAGATGTGCAAGTATTCTGAACTTTGCTACTGAGATTAAGTTTATCTCACCTGCCGTTTGCTCAGCAGACCTGGCTAGATAATAATTACCCTGGCCAAATTTTGTTCCATAAGAGCTTCTTCTTTCTTTAGAACTTCTGAATTTCTTTACTAGGGGAAATAAAAGAACATGAGTCCAACAGAACACTCACAGACAAAACAAAGAGGTTTTATATTTGACCATTGATCAGAAATCAGTTGGTTGCATTTCCAAATTTGCCAGCAGTGATCCATAGTCCACATTTATCCAACACACCGAAGCTGGGAGCACAGATGTGTTACATCTATCCACAACAAGTAGAAGAGGAGCGGATACCTGCAGAAAACAACCTGGGTCCCAAATGGGGTGAATTCTCTCATGAGTTGTCCATTTCTGACAACTACTCGAACAGTTTCTGCCCAATTACCAAGAAAGTCCTGACCAATTGTATTCCTCTTTTAACACTTGATGGGCAACACCCAGACCTTAGGAGCCTGGCCTGCCCAGGGGGAGTTCTCACCCAATTTCTGGTGGTTTTCTAAGTGGTGTAGCTGCCCAGATTAGGCATGATAACCATTGAAAAGTCTGTGGGACAAAACCTGGTGAGCTTTTCCAGATCTTAGGCTCAGGTCTATCAGCTTAGTGGCTGAACCTCCTTTTAAGCCATAATCTTTCACCGCTTTCTCCTTTTCCAGATGTGCACTTCCTTTTAATGAGTCTCCCAGGGAGACTGTGGGACTGGGAAGTCTGCGGTGGCTGAGATGTCAAGCTTCCTTGGGGGCTGGGAAAAATAAGTTGCGCCTTCATGCACCTAAGATTGCATTTGTCTTGGATAATATGAAAAGTTTACAAATGCCCTAGACATGTAGGCTCCTTTTGGAGAGGTTGGAGGGGCATAGGCAGCCCTGGGACACTTAGTCATGACCTGTTTCTCCTATTTCTCTCCTGCGGCTCATCTCTGAACCGACATCTAAAGGGTTTTTTCATGCTTATCTGTTATTTCACTTTAAAAAAAGGCCAGAGATGCCATGAGAAGGCAGAATGTAAGAATTGCAAAGAGGAGGAGGCATGTGAGTGAAAAGTGGGAAAATCCCAGAGTTGGTGAGTTTAGTAGGGAGGAGGAATTCATTGTGGCAGCAGATGACATGGGACCAAGAAGCTGAGCCTTGGAGTCCAGACCCAGAGGAGGGATGCTCAGATGCCATGCAGCAACCTGGGATGTTCAGCCAAGGGACCACACTGGGAGAGGAGCCCAGCTCTGAGTCCTGCTTTGGAGGGAGGAATCAGGCTCAGCTTGGAGGCTGGCCCTACTTCTGACACAGCGTTTGGGAGAAACGCAGCTCCAAGGGCCAGGATGCTCCTTCAAGACACAAGTGACCATGGCTCCTCTGGGGAAAGGAGAGGAGAGGGAGTTTTAGTGGTGGCTCCTGGCAATAGCCTTGGTAGATCACTAAGGGTGGTCCATCTATCCACATGAAACCCCTTTCTTGGAGGCAAGGCCATAGCAATGGAGTCTGAATTAAACTGAAGTCTTCAGGATGGACCCGTTCAAGCCCAGGATTTGATTTTGAGTTGTGTTTTTTTCCTTAGGGGACAATGACAACTTTGTGACCACTGCTACATCTGGGTTACACCAAAAAAACTCACCATGACAGAGGACCGCAAAGCATATGAAGGAGTGAGCAAGTTAGTCCCTGCCAGTGTGCAGCCACTGCTCTTCATGCCAGTGCTAAAGATCCAACGTGCACACATCAGCGAGTAGAAACCCCACCGGTGTCAGCTCCAGGGGACACCATAATCTTTCACCGCTTTCTCCTTTTCCAGATGTGCACTTCCAGGCTGCAAGCTGATTAGATGATTTGTCTCATTCCTCTGATAATTAATCTTTGTACAATAATTTTTTTAAATCATTTTTTATGGGTGCCATGTTGCTACCTCCATAAAATAGGTTTATGGGATTTTTCCCTGCCCCTGCATTGTAAATCGGGGTCCATAAAATGTAGAGTAATTTATCACTGATCATTGCGCAGTTTTATGTTAATGTTTGAACACGGCCATAAAAGAATTACATCATCTTACCTCTGACCAACTTTTGAGGCAAAAGGAACTTATAAAACCAAGCTCTGCTTACCAGCAAGGCACCTTCTCTTGTGTTGGGAGCACAGAGAACCTTTCCATCATGAGCTTCACTGGAAAATATGAACTCCAGTCCCAGGAAAATTTTGAGCCTTTTATGAAAGCCCTTGGTAAGTGCCTGCATGTGCTGTGTGCTGCTTTGCCTCCACAGATCCCACTGATCTCTGGGAGTCCAAATGTGTTCGTGCGCTGATGATGTGGATTGGAAATATCTCTCAGAAATTTCCTATTTCTGTCTGTCATCTTGCAGTTGTTGGGGTTTTTCAAATGCATGCGCATGGAGATGTGATCTCAAAATAGAAGAGAAAGCATCTCTCTGGCTGCTGGCTGGAGGTCAAGAGATGCTGGGTGAATTTTTTGGCTCAGGAAAATGGTCCAGCTGGTTCTGCAGCCATGGGCCAGCGTAGCAGAGTGCTGCACACACGGGATAAGCCGGCGGGACCTTGGTGGCTTAGGGGGACCACAGATCTGCTCCGTCAGGCTGTGAAATTTGAGGGGGAGCAGGACATCGCTCTGCCCACAGTGCTGCTGCCTGGCAATGCTGTAAAGCCCCAAATTCCACCATGCATCAGAAAAATAGTCGGGGTTGTTCAAATGCTTAATGATGAACACAGCTTGCTAGGTTTCCACCAGTGTCCGTGCCAGGGACATGCTCCTGCAGGGATTCAGGAGGCTTTGCATGACTTCTGCACAGTTCTGTGCCAGAGGGGCTTTACCTGTCAGATCAACTTCAGGCTCTGGGAGAAGACTTTAGTGAGCTGGTTCTGACGGACACTGAATCTCATTAAAAAAACCACACTAGCTTCCCTCATTCTGCCTTGATTTATTCCATTTTTTCTGGTTGCCACTCAGTGAAGGAAGGAAAACGATTTTTTACTTTCTGTCTGATGCTGAGCCAGGGAGGTGGCTGTTCTGCTCACAGCCAGGTTGGTGAGACAAGGGAGATGTCTAGTTCCCACACAAAACCCAGGATGACAGTATTTGTTCTTCTTCCTCCCCAGCAGACTCAGGGCCATGTGGCCCTTGGGGAACCATCATCATTTCAAGGGTTTTCCAATAGAAATCCTCCCAGCTGTGGGTCCCCAAATCCTGCTACATTCATTTGGCAGCAGCAATCTGCCCACCGATGGCTCCAAGGTTCACCTAACATCTCTTGTTCCTGGGCAGGGGTTCCCGATGACAAGATCCAGGAGTTCAAGGACATCAAGAGCATTTCAGAAATCGTGCAGGATGGGAATAAGTTCAAGGTGACTATGACCGCTGGCCCCAAAGTGAAGCACACTGAGTTCACCATCGGGGAGGAGTCTGAGATAGAGATGCTGCTTGGAGAGAAAGTCAAGGTGAGTGATCATCTCCTCCTCTGCCAGGGCTGCGGGGGCTCAGGGATGTTAAATTTCCTTTCCAGTCATTCCCTCTGCACTTGAGCAAAGGGAATGGCCAGATCACAGGTGTTAAAGCTGACACAGGGAAAAGACCTGGGTAATTCCCCAGCCTTGTTCTGTCTCTCACAGTTTGCATGCATCATTAAATATCACGGGAAGGGGCTAATTGCTGAAACCAAGTTTGCAGATGTGACACCTGCTGTCCTGCTCCCTGTAGGTCCTCAACAAGTCTCTTAGGGAGACATTTCCGAAAATTACGGTCCATTTCTGAGCCACCTTCCTGAGAAACTCAGAGCCCAAGATGCTGAACTTCCCACCTCTCCTCTTCTCTTTTACAAAATAAGCTCCCCAGCCAGCACTGCTGCAGACGAAGCCTTGCATTTCTAAAGCTATTTTAATAGTCAGTTTGGAAAACACTGAAATCCAGTGTTTTAGTAGCCCATTTGGAAAAGGGAGATAGAGATGCTTTGGTAATTTTTTCTGACAGCAAAAGGCCTGAAAGGTGTGAGGTGGAAAAGGGGTTGACTTTGCCATGTTGCAACATGAAACATACCCCCACCTTCATTTTGTTGACTTAAAGGTAGTGCAGGAAAGTCAGCCAATGAATCATAAACCAATAAATCTCTCCTTTTAAGTCCCAGCAGCTATTAGCTTCTCTGCTACCCTTTTCCACTGCTTCTGTTTATACTGGGTGAGATGATTTGGCAACAAGAGGATTCATCACCCTTGAAATGGGGCCAGCTACCATTCCTGGACATTTGTTTACAATGGTTCATAAAATGTCAAGACAGAGCCACCAGCAAATATTGCCTCTCATCACTACCTCACGAGAGGATGGTACTGCAGGGACTTTTGAAAGCAGGAGGAATGGTCACCAAAGAAATGCCCCAGTGAACCAGGCTCTGAGAGCTGCACCTTCCAGCATCACTGAGTCTGCTGTGCATAGACCAGGGGGAAAAGACTATTGGAAGAGTTTTACTCTCCATAAATTCAGCAGCTCGAGGGTAGATGCACATGCCTTTCAGCTGGATAGACAGGTGAATAGAAATGGTTTTGCTGGGTTATTTCTTTGAGTAATTTCAATGAGCAGTGAGAGCTGGCCCTGGGGGTGGCAGTGACATCTGGAGTTTTTTAGACCTGCAGCTCCTGGGAGGGCAAAGATTCAGCAGATGGGCTTGTTCCCCAGAGAGCTCTCCAGCCATGACTGTGTTTCTGAAAGCTCCTTAAATTGTTTCCCACCTTGACCAAGACTCCACCCAGCCCCACGTTCTTGCGCAGCTCCCCATCACTCCACCCCAAAGGAGGATGCTGCAGCAATGTGCAATAGGTAGGTGGTGAAGAGGAGCCAACGTGGCATGCCCTGGACCAGCTCAGGTAGTTCTGCAGTCCTCTCCTTGGAGATGTGCAGGTCCTCTTGGTCTGGGTGCTGCATGAGGTGCTGCCCTGAAAAGCATCAGGGCTGCACAGAAGCACTAACATTGGCAGGGTGAAGAGCCTTCCTTCTTCTCCTCCAAAACTCATGTGTTGGTGTGATGCCAAGGATTCCCACCCTGGCATCTAACAGTGCTGGAGCCGTGAGTGAGTCTCAATTTGGAGGAGAGAGAAGTACGTACAGTGGCAAGGTTGCACCCCCGAAAAGCCCAAAGTAAACACCCCTACCCTTGCCGTGTTGTAGTCACTGCCAGCACAACCCTCTCTCCTCCTCCTCCCAGGATTGCTAAAAGCACCAGGGGAGCAGCATGCTCCAAACAGCTTGCAGAGGGGACGGTAGCAAGTCAGTACAGAAGTGGAAGGACAAAATGCAGGGGTTGATAAGGTCTCCAGCAATAACATGAATACCTCTGTCTCGTCCCCTCTCTGCTAGGCTGTTGTTCGTCTGGAGGGTGGCAACAGACTGGTCACAAATTTGAAAGGGATGACATCTGTCACCGAACTCAATGGAGACATCATCACCCATGTAAGTGCAGATGAGAGGGGCAATGGCCAGAGTAACGGTGCCTACAGCTGCCTCCGAGGTTCTGGCCCTACAAAGCCTACAGAGATGCTGGGGATCTCAGGGAGGTGCTGGAGATGAGTACCTGCTTGTGCTCAGGCTTTGTAGCTAAACCTGGCCAGGCACTGAAGGCAGTTTTTTGGTATAGTCTGACCCAAAAAGTACTTTTTGAGACCCCAATAGGCATTTCTGATGAAATTTTCATGCAATGAGGGCATGTTCTCCTCCACACAGATGTGTATGTTGGGGCTGGGCCTGGCACTTTTAAAGAATTGAGGTGCAGCAGGCTGATCCCAGTTGAGGAATGCTAGATTATCCCTACCTGCTTCGGGGTATTCGAGAAGAAACCCAAAGCTTTAATAATTCTGTTAGGGGATAGGCTGTGGATCTGTCCTGTTTTGCTTTGCAAGACCAGATCTTTTCCAAGTAGAGTTTGTAGCCACGCGCCATGAAAAGCTAATGCTTTCCATTTGTTTTCCAGTCGCTGACCTTGGGAGACATCACCTACAAGAGAATCAGCAAAAGAATCTAGAGACCCTGCACACACCAATCACTTTCCTCTGTAAAATGTGTCCACTAAAATAAAATTTGTATTAAAGGCCTCTTCATTATTGTCATCAGCCTCTTCGCTGCTGCTATAAAGAGATGCAAGCCTCCAAAACTCATGCAAGCTCTGGTAGAAATTGGGAAACAGGCTGAGCCAAGGCTGTGCTGATGTCGGTGAATGGAGCACGGGCTCGGAGCCACTGAGTAACCCTTCGAGATGTGCTCCATGCTGACGAGTGCTCTTCTCACCCCTTCTTGGGGACAGGTGCCAGCATCCTGCTGGGGACATCCCAGTAGGTAGTGCACCCATGGCTGCCCTGGCCAGGTAGATGGAGGGGCACTGGGTGGGGAAAGGTCTCTCTTCCCTTTCCTTAAAGTCATAGCCAAAGTGACCACAAGGTGACTGGCAGGGCCAAAGGACAGGGCGGTTTAGGTGAGCTCAAGGAAATGTCAAGGATCCAGCATAAGAAGCTGCCGTGGGGAAGCAACCAGAATGGGGGCAGAGATGTGGTTTTCTGGTGCACAGAGAAGAGCTCTTCCTTCTGAGCTGCCTTTTCCAAGCCCTGTGCTTGGATGATGACTGGGAATCGTCACTGGGAAATGGGTATATGGCTGGTGTGATGTACCTAGATGGGATGATGTTCTTACAAACACTCAAAGCTGGTCAGGATGTTAGGAAAACACCACAAGTGCTTCCCCACCTCCTTCTGCAACCCCAACACACTCTGCTAAAGGACCACTCTCATGCTGAGAACTGCACCAATATGGATTGTCACCCTAGGCATCAGATGGACACCCATGGACAAATGGAAAGGCCTAGCTCAACAGCTCCTAAAAAGCAGATGTTGGTCTCCAGTGAACTCCTCTCAGATGTGGAGAAACATAAGCAAAATCTCTGAGAAACGTCAAAGAGGAAGAGCCCTGGTTTTGTTTTCTTACCATTCTGCTGAGGAGCAAGGAGGGAATTCTTGAAGGAACGATCCCTTTTCATCTCTTGGCTGCCACTGAAGGTGTGGAGCAAACCAGCTGGATTTTGAGATAGATGGGCAAACAGCAAAGACCTATTTTATTTAGAAATCCAACCATTGCCTTTAAAATCTTCATGGGCTCCATTGGCTGCCCACTGGCAGCTGATCCATTGACTATCCCTTTTTTGTTCAGTTCCAAGTTGATTAAGCACCTGCCTAAGCGGAAAGGCAAGTCCTGAAAGGCATCAGAGCTCCCAACTCACCCTGAAGGTGAGCAAAGGTGGATCCCCCTCCCTGGAAACTGCTTGTTCAGTTAGAGCAATCCACACAGCCAGGTCACCACACAAGCACAACTGGCTTCTGGCACAGAATCATGTCATATCCACCTGCAGCTATCACTGCAGACATTTTCCAATTTTTAACTAAGGAAAATAATTTGCCCTAGTTAGTTTATCCTGATGTAGGAACTCCACTTAATCTCATTTGCAAAGTGCCCGCAGTTTGATGTTGCACCTATGTCAGCTGCAGAATAATTTTTTTTCATCAGAAAAATGCCACTTTACACAAAACACCATCTGCAGGTCTTATTCAGCTTGCATTCAATGCTCACAGGCATACATGACACTTTTTGGAACCAGCTTCCCACTTCTACTGCCCCTTGGTCAACCCCCCATGGACACCATTAGAAAGAAATTATGATTACAAGGAAGTGATGGGAAAAAACTAAAAATTAAAATTTAACCAAGGACTTCAGGATCACGACTTGTGTAGAGACAAACAGGCTTCTAATAAGAATGTAAATAATTTTATAACAGGTTTTTTTGCTTTGATTTTTAATGCTAGTGGTAGAAAAAGGGATGTTGTTTCTGCCAAGATCTCTGCTTTGAGCCCCCAGAAGATTTTTCAGGACTCTCCCGCAGTGGGTCCATGCTGTCAGACTGGTGCCACTGGAAACAGTCCTTATGGATACATCACATTCCTATATCACATTCTCCACGCTTGGAGGTGCCACAGATGATGTTATCCCACAGGCATGAATTTGTGTCAAGCTCAGCGTTTATTCCTTCTTGTGGAAGAGGCTTGGTGAGGTCTCATTGCTGGGTTCAGGCATGACTTGAATCTTTTGGTTTTTGAGGGCAGCTTCCCTCATCTTGTAATACATTAACTCATTCTGCTGGAACATGCGCAGCTCCATCTCTGTCTGGACACGCATGACCTGAGGGACACAACAGATTATAAAACCTGTGACGTGGGGGATTTTGAAGCAAGTGAATAAAGCACTGCCTAAAAATGAAGACTGTCCTTCAGGGATGTCCTAGGCCATGTAATGACTGACACAATTTAATCTGCGTGTCCCACCACCAGGACCAAAGCTCACTGGACACAGATATCTAGTTATCTTCTCAAACCTGCTTATCTTTGTGGTATGAAGGTGAAGAAGGCATCAGCCCTTCCTGCACCCAGCTCTTCCACAGGCTGCTGGGAAGCCTCATGCTCCCAAACCTGATGCAGGACCTGGAGGCAATTCTGTGCAGAGCCAGGGAGTGAGTGTGGTTCTCACACACACCCGGGGCCTGAGCCTTGGTGTGACCCATCACTGGGGTGGGGGTCACCTCATGTGGGAGGAGGAGGAGTGGGATGCTCAGCCCGTCTTCGATCACATCACAGTTGCACCCCTGCATCCCAGGACTCACTGTGAGCAGTCATTGGTAGCACTACATTATGGCAGAGGCTCAGAAGGGATTTTAGGAAATCTTGTTACACCTATCTGTGAGTTTATTCAACCCTTGGTTTAGGAGCACAGAGATACCCATATGCCATATATCCACTATTTTCCTCCTGAAGTAAGTGGAAAGGAAGATACATAAATTGAGGTGCTGGGGTCTCACCCTCTGCTACATACAGGCAAACAGTCAGGTTGGCTTTAGGTACTAGATACTCATTTTCCTGATGATATAGAATTGTACTCATAAAGGTTATAACTCTGCTATAATGGGGAATAAGACATCAATAAATTCATTTTGTATTGTGTCTTTTTTTTTGGATGGGTAAAGGAGGATGCTGTAAAGGCAACAGGTCACATCAGGTGAGTTAAAAGCAAAAGAAATGAGAGATCCCCAGCTGCACTTGTAAATAGTTCATCACAGCTGAGCAGATGTAATTCCCTGGGACCTGCAGCTCTTGACCCTAAACTAGGAAATACACATATCAGTCATTTGAGAAAAAAACACATCGCAGCTCAGAAGGACTGGGGAGTAGGAAATAAAGAAGAATGGACTCCGATAAAGGAAATCGGTTGGTAAGCTAGGAACATCCACCATACATAATTTGGAACAGTCAAATTGTAATGCCATCCACCTGAGAGCAGTGAAATCAGGCTGTGTGAAGAATGGGAGTCCCCGTCCTTGGGCACAGCGGTTCCAAAGAAGATTCAGGGATTCAGGGGCCGTTTTTAGTGGATGTCTTCATGCAGAATAAAAGCTATTTTTCAGGGATGAAGATCTCCCATAGGAAGGGACATGCATTACCCAGCAGACTGTAACATATGTAGACAAAACCATGGCACGAGTACGAAGCCATCAGTACTCGATTCATCTCTCAGCTCTTATGGATGGATTGTTTCTACAGCTTGAAGGTCATTTTGCCCAGACAGACAGCAGAGACAACACGGGAGATGACACCTACCTCCAGGTCTTTGGTAATTGGGTGGGAAGGTCCATGGGTTATCAGGAGGATGGCATAGGCTTTGCAGATCAAGCCATGCCCAGCTTCAATGAGACCTGCATGCCAGTGGGTCACTCCTGCCCGCATCACGGCCATCCCCAGCTGTGCGTTGTTGGGATGGTATATTTTCCTGGAAAACCATTGAGTAATTTTAGTTCAGGAAAGATCTGGGTTCCCAAATGTTTGCTAGTGACGCGATGTGCTTGCCAAAGAGCAGACTGTTTACTTAAGTGAAGATCTTATTGCATTCGATGCCACTGAAATGTTCAGCCCTGCTTAGAAAGGGGCAAGCAGGAGTTACACGAGGACACGAGTTATACAAGGACATGAGTTGTTTGTGGAAGAGGATGAACAACCAGCGAACAGGAAAAGCTGCACACCTGGGCTGGAGAATGCCAAGCTCTGGCATCCAACATTATTTTGGCACAGACAAAACCCAGAGCTGACCCTACAGCCCAAACAGCACCAATTTCAGCTGCTTAATGGAGTGTCTAAATTGAGAACGCAACAACCACCAGCTTCTCATGCAGTGTGGGGAGAGAAACAGGTGGTTTCAAAAAACTCCAGAAACGTTCATCTCACCCACTGGAGATGCATCCTTGACTCCAGGGACTGTAAGATCACTCTGGTACGGTTAGCACTCAAGGTGGGAAAAATGAAACTTGGTTTCTGTACATCCAATTTTAGAAGCTCAGGCAGAGTTAGAAGGTGCTTGGATTTACCTAAAAACCTGCTTTTAAGGGCTTAGTTGGCATATTGAATTGGCAGATCTCAAAGCAAGGAAGGAAATTACTGCTGTCCACAGTTTGGAGTGAGAAACTAGGGACCAGGAAGGGCAAGCAGTTTTCTCAGTGTCGTTCAATTAACTCAATGCCAGGGCTGGGACATGAAGTGGCTTGTCAGGCTTGCAAGCCAGGGAGGTGATTCTGTCACCCCTCTGAAAAAGAACAAAATATCATAGGCCTTTTGGGATAGAACTGATCAAAAAGTAGTGAGTATGAGAGGCTCTCAGCAAGAGAGTGAACAAGATGACAAAATGGGAAAATGGGCTTTTCTCTCTTCTGTTCTCTGTAGTTTCCATCACTTTTTTATCTTTTTTTTTTTTTTTTTTTGCTAATTAGTACTCTTCAGTCCCATAGTAAAATCTCATTAATAATAAAGTACAACATTTCTACTGTGAGGTTTGCTCCGGATCAATGTGAACTAAGCCTGAATTTTTTTATTCTCACTGAGCTTTTAACACAGGACTTGTGCATACTAATTAGCCAAGACAAAAATCCATGTGTTATTCAAG